AATGGTGGTTACCAGAGGCCAGGAAGGGAAGGGGAGAGGGAGGGAGGAAGAGAAGGTATACCTAGAAGGAATAAGTTCCAGTATTTGGTGGTACAGTAAGAAAATTATGGTCAACAATAATTTACCATGTATTTCAAAATAGCTGGAGAGAAAATCTGTCACGTTCCCGACACAAAGAAAAGATAAACGTTTGAGGTGATGGATATCTCAATGACCATGATCTGATCATCACACGTTGTATACATGCAGCAAATACACGCGGATCCCCAAAATATATACAACTGTATCAGTAAAATTTTTTTGAGAGAACTGTCTCTAAATAGCCTAGATTTTTCTACAATGAGAATTTGTCCTCATATAAACCAGAAAAAGGAGTCGTATGAGAGGACAGGAGCAGCACTAGCAGCTAGCAAGACACCTACAGGCTCTAAGGTGAGGACGTGCCTGGGGCCAGGTGAGCAGTCGTTGGCCAGCAGATGCTTTGGGGACTTCAGCGTTATTGGCACCCTTAGATGGAAGGTTCTACCAGGTTTGACATCAAAAAATATCACAATTTTTTAAGGCCAAAAATTGTACTTCTTCTACCTGATACAGTCCCGAACAAATCACACGGCAAGAAATATTCTAAGTTTTAAATAAAAACCATGATACAAAATTCCATTTACAGTACTATCTCAAGTATGTTAGAGACAAAAAAAATAAATAGGATAAATGGAAAGAAATGCAAATACTCAAAAATATTAAGTAGTTTCAGAATAAGGATTTTCCTAAGCTTTCTTTATAGAAATGTTTAATTCTTTAAGATATATTTTTAACATTCCAGTTTGTTAGAAATACTAATGTCACTTAACAAACATGGTACAGCATTAGGTACCATGCTGGTAGGTTTTGTTTGGGGGGGGTTATTTATTTAGGTTGGTGCAAAAGTAATTGCATTGTCAGACCGTGAATTTTAAATCATTGTAACCAGGTTCAAACACATCTTTATTAATCAAAATGGGAACAATTACAATCAACACATTTTTGCCAGTGAGAAATAAGTTTGTTCATTCCTGCAGTATAAAAATCCGTGCTTCAGGATTCCATGAACTCTTGGCATTTTCTGCATCCTGCTGGTCGTCGAAGCATTTTCCCTGCAAAAATTGTCAAGATGCTTGAAGAAGTGGTAGTCGGTTGGCGAGAGAGAGGTCAGGTGAGCAGGGTGCATGAGGCAAAACTTCACAGCCCAATTCGTTCAACTTCTGAAGTGTTGGTTATGCGACGTGCGGTCAGGCGTCATAGTGGAGAAGAATTGGGCCCTTTCTGCTGACCAATGCCGGCTGCAGGCGTTGCAGTTTTCCGTGCATCTTGTTGATTTGCTGAGCAGACTTCTCAGAAGTCATGGTTTCGCTGGGATTCAGAAAACTGTAGTGGATCAGACCGGCAGCAGACCATGGAACAGTGACCATGACCTTTTTTGGTGCAAGTTTGGCTTTGGGAAGTGGTTTGGAGCTGCTTCTCAGTCCAACCACTGAGATGGTTGTTGCCAGTTGTCGTATAAAATCCACTTTTCGTCGCACATCACAATCTGATCAAGAAATGGTTCATTGTTGTGTACAAGAAGAGAAGGCGACACTTCAAAATGATGATTGTTTTGATTTTCAGTCAGCTCATGAGGCACCCACTCATCGAGCTTTTTCACCTTTCCAATTTGCTTCAAATGCCGAACGATCTGATTGTAGAATGGTCGACACTGTTCTTCGGCAGCTTCTCGTGTAGTTGTAAGAGGATCAGCTGCGATGATTGCTCTCAATTGGTCATTGTCAACTTCCAATGGCTGGCCACTGCGCTCATCTTCCTGGCTCTCATCTCCTTTGCAAAACTTCTTGAACCACGACCGCACTGTGCGTTCATTAGCAGTTCCTGGGCCAAACGTGTTGTTGATGTTGCAAGTTATCTCAACTGCAACCCGTTTTGAACTTGAATAAGAAAATCGCTCGAATTTGCTTTTTGTCTAACATCATTTCTGTAGTGTAAAATAAATATAAAATAAACAGCAAGTAGTAAGTCATTAGCAAAAAAACATAAAGTGAGAAATGTGCATTAAAATGATGTATAATATAACCACATTTACGAATGCATTCCAATATCAAATGGCAAATTTCAAAAATGTTAAAACTACAATTACTTTTGCACCAACCTAAATACTAGTTTGGTAAACCTAAGATGAGACCCTGATATGCACTAGTTATAAGATTTGGAAGATAAAATTTGCCCATCACATAAAGAAATGTGTAAACATGCCCAAGAAAACTGGCAACAACAAAATCCTGATTTTTTTTCCTTTCCCATCTTTCCTTCTGATTAGTTTCACTCTCCCACTACACACCACCTTCCTTAGAGGATTCTAATCAGGGTGTAGATTGAAATCCAAACTCTATTTCTTTAAGGAAATACTTAAATAGTGCTTCTATGCATCATGCACCACTGTAAGCACTTTATAAATCTCATTGCATCTGGGCCACTCTCCAGGTTGGCATCCACAGCATCTTGCTCCACCCCTTCCCCACCCCTCTAGTGGGCCAATAACTCAGCCTCCCAACCTCTCCAGGTGCCTAGACCATGCTCACAGGGACCTCTCATCCTCTGTTCATCTCTCCCTGAGACATGATCCCTACTTCTGCCCCCCAATACTTCTCCAAAATCCACTCGTCAAAGACCACGGCAAGCCAAATCCTGCCTTCATTAGACCTTCCCAAATCCTCCTGGTCAGAACTGTTCCCTTCACCCATTCTGCTCTGCGGTACTGGAGGTACAAACAGTTTGTGAAGAACACAATCCCTCACAGGAATTAAGCCTAATGGTTTATACCACCCTTCTCTCTCTTCCTCTCCCCACACTGCCTGGTTCCTGTCCTTCTGCATGATAGATGCTGCTCAACACGTCATGCCATATACATACGGCCATTTCATCTACAAGACAAAGACAGACCTTAAAGAGCAGTGTTCAGTGGCGCCTACTATGCACAGAACGCCATATATTGCCCCATGATATTTATTACCAAAATTATTATAAGTGCCATGTTATTATTGTCATTTACTGAGTATTTTCCATGTGCGAAGTACTGTGCTAAGCACTTTAAATGTCTTATAAGTTAGCATATCCCCTAAAATTAGCCCTTAGAAGAAGGGCTCACCTTACAGTCAAGTCATTATAATGCTCTCATATTATGGAGGGTTCTCCAGTTTTTGAAATACAATATTCTGTTTGAGGACGACACACTAGCCTGAACTAATTCAGTCACGCTAGTTTTAGGTGTTTATAACAATCGTCTGATAAACTATTTAAAAAGGAGACAAGGAGATAAACAAATTTAACATAGATATATTCACGATTCCTAGGGCGTAACTTTGCAACTGCTATCGCTAGAAAATTTGTAAATAAGCTTTAGTAAGATCACTTTTTGGAAAAAAAAAAAAAGCAACACAGCAAGTTGTCATGTTACGGAAGCACAAGTATACTATTACGGGGCGGGGGGGGACACACAAAGTGTTTGAGAGTTAGTGATTGAGGCTGCGGATAAAATTTCCAGTGCTCACATCACAGAGGGATTCGGAAAGCTCTGCATAGCAAATATCTCCAAGGAGGCAAAGATAACACGCTCCGGAAACTGTTTAGAGCTACGAAAAGCAACTCTAATGAAGACACACATACTGGAGTTGGGGACACCAGTCCAGAGTTTCAGTACAAGTGTTTTGTTACACGAGAAAGTAGAAACATTACAATGACACATCACATATTCACACTTCAGATCGCACGCTATAACTAAACACCGTCCTTAAAAGCTAACCCCACGTGAAGAAGCCTCTCTGCCACGACCGGGCCCCTCAGGGCACCGCGGCTCAGGGAGGGCTGGCGCAGGCTGTGGATGCTCGTTAAGGGAGCCCCTCTGCTCCCGTTTAGACCCTTCAATTTCATACAAACTTCACCACATCAAGAGAGAGTGATGAGTATACTAGAGAGAGACTAGGAATTGAAGAACAGCCCTCTGCTTGTGTTCTCTTGTGACACACGTATTAAATGAACTGGAGGAATGGTTAGAGCCACAAAGACCTAGAACCTCCATCTCCTGTATTTGATCTGAGCCTTTTTGGTTTGCTCCCAAATTCTCAGCTAGAATATCCTCATGGGAACAGCATGAGTTGTGCAAGTGTCAGAACACAAAATATTGAGGAGGAGTATTTTGGGAATAATGACTCTTATTTTTAGGTGAATTTACTTAATCCTAATAGCAATAAGTGTAACCTTTCAAAAGACATTATGCCTCCGGGTTCTTCCCCAGGGGCAGGGCCTGTCTGCAGCACGGGAGCGTCAGGAGGGCAGATGCCTGGGAAGAGCACCGAGCCGCCCCCACAGCGCCCGGGCTGCCTCCCCACCGCGCCCAGACACGCCGCGGCATCTCTGCGGGCTCATCCCGCTGTGGACACAGCGCCCTCAGGTGTCTCTTTTTTAAAGTGAAGTTGTTGGATAGGCTACATGCAAATGAAAGGTTTTCTTTTAGGTAATTTAAGCTTTTATTCAATTACATACGAGAATGAAAATATAATCTCTCATTTAATAAGATGATAAAACAAAATAAAATAATGTGAGCATAGGCTACATGCAAATGAAAGGTTTTCTTTTAGGTAATTTAAGCTTTTATTCAATTACATACGAGAACAAAAATATAATCTCTCATTTAATAAGATGATAAAACAAAATAAAATAATGTGAGCAGTCAGATAACCTAGTCATATTTTTGCTCGAAATTGTGACCCCTTCTAAACTGTAACATTGTCACGGGTAGTTTGACGGGGACCTGTATTGGGGATGTTTTGAGAACCACATTTCCTATCATAGAAAACAGAATTCTTGACCTTGACGGTACCAAATGCCCACACCTTTCACTGCCCTGTTCTTCCAGCGGCTGGAAGGCGATCTCTTGGGCCATACAGACCTGGGTGCCAATGTCCTTGACTCACCTGAATGTGCATGGCGCCCTCTACTGCTTCTTGGAGGCTAGAACAGCCACTGATGAGGGACACCTGCTCTTCCACACTCAAGGAGCCTCTCAGAGAACCTGCCTCCTCCAGTGACTTCAGTTCCCTTCTGCAAAGGAGTAGAGAATGATCACTGAGTATCCAAAACCAAATTAAAAGCAAACAAAGCTCAACAACAGTAATCACCAGGGAAAAGCAAATCAAAACCACAATGAGAAGCTGCCTCACACCCATTAGGATGAGGGCTACTACCAAAAAAGCAGAAATAACAAGCATTGGCAAGGACGTGGAGGGGCCAGAACTGTTGAGCACTGTTGGCGAGACTGTAAAGGGGGTGGCCACTATAAAAGACAGCGTGGCTTTTTCCCCAAAATTAAAGTAGAATTACAATGTGACCCAGCAATCCCATTTCTGGGTATTTACCCAAAATAATGTAAAGCAGGGTCTCAAAGAGACATTTGCATACTCACCTTCATAGCACTATTCACAACAGCCAAGAGGTAGGAGCAACCTAAGCGTCCACTGACAGACGCATAGAAAACGAAATGTTGTGTATTCACACAACAGAATATCATGCAGCCGTAGAGGAGGAGGAAATTCTGACACATACTACAGACAGATGAATCTTGAGGACCTTATGCTACATGAAATAAGCCAGACACAAAAGGCCAAATACTGTATGATTCTACCTATAAGAGGTACCTACAGTGGTCAGAGTCAGAGACAGAAACTAGCATGGTCCCAGCTGCCAGGCGCTGGGGCTTGAGGGAATGGGGAGTTTGTGTTTAGTGGGTGAGGATGAAACAGTCCCAGAGATGTGCTACCATCACCATCATTCAACAATGTAAACGTACCTACCCGTACTTAAAAGTGGTTAGGAGAATAAATTTGTTATATATACTTTTACCCAATTAAACTTTTAATTGAAATTTTGAAAAATAAAGGATGCAATGAGCCCTGAGGGTGGGGATTGGAAAGCAGTGGTTCTTCATCCTTGTGCTTGAGTCAGTCCCCAGGTGTGGAAGGGTTGAAAGAAGGTATCTTATACTCAGGGTGGCCTTTGTGGAATGTGGCCTGTGAGGTCCCTCAGGGCCCTGAACTTGGAGGGGCCCATGCTGGGTTTAATGCTCTGCTGTCACCTTCTGAAAATTCTTACGGAATTTTGAACAAGGGGCCCGACATTTTCATTTGCACCGAGCCGCGCAGATTATGTGGACCGTGCTGCTTATGCTTCACGACAGGTTACATAAACCAGGCAGAATATGTGTGCACGCACGCACACACGAGGTTGCCTAAGGATCAATGCCCGTGCCTTCCAAAGAACTCTGTGGACTTTTTGCCAGTAAGTCGAATAATTTTTACATCATTTCATGTCACAGATTTTATCTTTAAGTTGTCGATGCTCTTCAGCCAAAAGCTGAAGTGGAACCAGTGGGGTCGGCGCAGTGAGGAGGACACACCGTGCGTGGGGGCGCCGTGGTGCATCTCAGGAAGAGGGTGCCAGAGAAAGCCTGGAACCGGGTTTGGGCTCTGGTGGGGAGATTTGGAGGAGTATCTCGGGAAGGGGGGCCCCCTAGATCACATGCCGTGAGAAAGCCAAGGCAATCTGAAGGTTGGGGATGTCAACAAATCTCATCTGTATGGAGGGGAGGCCAGACCGGAGATAAAGGCGGCGTGGGCAAAGAAGTAGCAGTCACTCGTTTTAGCCAAGAGAGCAGTGGGTGGCACGCCGCCCCGTTTCTGTCTGTGCTTAGGCAAATTCATGAAGCAGCCTTGCTTTGCCTAATTCTGTTTTGGTCTAAGAATGACCCTGTCTGAGGTTGCTTATGTCCAACAGGTGAAGGCAAAAAATACCAAGATACACTGAAATACAAATAGGTTTCTATGGTATCTTTAGCAAAAAGAAGCTTCAAGGAAAAGATAATGAGTCCTCTGTTGATGAGGCAGAAGCAAAGTCTCTCCCGCTTCAGAGTCAGCAAGGACAAAAAAGCACCTATAGGCATCCCCACACATGGGACTGGGCTTACTTTTTTTTTTTTTTTTTTTTTTAAAGGAGGGGGAGAATGTATGAGGTTATTCTCATGTAAGTAATTTTGAATATCTGCAATATATCAACTTAAAAAAAAAAAAACCCTTAAAATAAGTCCAGAAAATAGCTGTCTTATTTTGGAGGACAAGCATGCAGAGGTCCCTACTTGGACCTCATCACCCACAGAACAGCTCAATGCTGGGTACCCAATATCCCTGACCACCCTCAATGGGCAGGTATTTTTAAATTTTTACATAAAACTAATTACTTAAAGCAGAAGCTTATAAAATAGTGAGAAACACACAAAACAAAGCGTGTGTCTGAGCCAGTTCACCAGAAAATTTATATTAGCTGTATATGGTGTTGTGAGGTGTCTTAGCAACAGATTAGTTAAGATTTAAAAGTTTGATGACTAAAATCAAGAAAGCTGGCAAGGTAAGTGCCAGCAAATAGATATCTGAAACATCACTGAGGAAAATACAGCAGAAAGAGTCACAAGAGAATGTTCCCCTGCTAAGATAAAAGGGAAAGGCAAAAGTTCACAGGTCTGAGGTTCACGTGATTACACATCAGTGACGCCCAGCAGGCCTCCTGCATGGACACCGGGCACCTGTTCCCTGCATCATCAGGGCAGAGCACTATGTGACGCAAAGGTCATCTCTTTCCCATTTCATAGTATGTGTCTGATCCAGCTTTCAAAAATGTTTAGTTATACAACTCTAAATATACTGAAAACCCTTGAATTGTACACTTTAAATGAGTCCATTGTATGATATGTAAATTGTATCTCAGTAAACTGGCGTACTAGTTTCCTATAGCTGCTGTAACAAATGATTGCAAACTCAGTGGCTTAGAGAATACAAATGTGTTACCTTACAGCTCTGGTCAGAAACCTCAGCGAGGCGGACAGCACAGTGGCGGTGGGGCTGCCTTCCTGCTGGAGGCGCCAGGGTGGAATCTGTCCCTGGCCTTTTCTGGCTTCCAGAGGCCGCCTGCACCCCGGCCCATGGCCCTCTGCACCCTTCACAGCCAGCAATCTCCACTCCCGCCTCTGTCCTCACGTCTCCTTTGACTCTGCTGTCTCCTTTTGTCCCTTATGAGGACCCTTGTGACTACATCAGGCCAACCCAGGTAACCTCCTCATCTTGCCATCCGTAATGGAATCACGTCTACAAAATCCCTCTTGCCATGTAAGGAAATACCTTCCCCGGTTCCCAAGACTAGGACATAGACATCTTTGGGGGAGCCATTATTCTGCCTACCACACCTGTTCAAAAAAACTTCCAGAATATGTAATGTATATAAGAATATCCTGTATAATCAGTGTCCAAACTATGCTTGTATAATAAGAGGCCTTACCTAGTAACGCCACTGCAGATATTACCCCACTATATTCCCACCTCCACTGGCTGTTGAGAAATTTATTGTCAACTTGTCATTCCTTTATAAGTAATCTGTCTTTTCTCTCTAGCTGTTTTTAAGATTTTCCCCCTTGTGGCGTGGTGTTTGTCAGTTTCACGATGCTGTACCTGGGTACAGACGTACTTTCTATTTACCCTGCTGGGGACACGTCATTCTTCCAGAATCTGAGGATTTGCGTCTTTGCCGTGAACTCTTCATCATTAGATCTTCACAGATGGCTTCTTTCCTGGCTCTCTAAATCTTTCAGAACTCTAACGACATGGATGGTAGACATTCTATCCTCCATGTTTAACCACTTTTCCACATTTTCATCTCTTTCTCTCTCTCAATTACATCTTAAATAACGCCCTCTGCTCTGACTTCAGTTCACCGTGCTCATAATGCTCGTTTCTCATGTGTTTGGGGTTTGGCTCACGAGCGGCTGTTCACTGAACTCTGAGGATCCCACGAGCCATTGGCTTAAGGTACGTTGCTCCGGAGACGACGACGGCATTTTGTTTCTGCCAGGCACCTGGGGCTGCCAACCAAGGAACCAATGTGAATTCTTGCCTTGGGGTGTTCCAGACCACACAGGTAGTATGAATTTGGACTCTGGAACTTTGAGAGTTGCTTCAGGGTTATAAATCCTCAGAGAAACACGTCCTCCCCGACACCCAGAGTCAAGGCCGGGTAGACGAGCCTCCACTGGCAGGTAGTGATTTTTGTCTTAACCGTCCCTTCCACTGAGGATGTAGCCCTTTGGGAATTCTGGCTTCAGTCAGGGGTCTCCAGTTTGACCCCTCACCGTGTGCAGACTAAGGCTGGCCGATACGACCAAAGCTCCAGACGAGCAGGACTGGTGAGTGTCCTCAGAGCAGCCATCGACTCCGGCTCTCAGCACCTCCGGGACTGGTGCTCCCACGGGGGCCTCTGAGAGCATCCATGACGTTCTTGCCAGCTCACGGTGCATTATTTTAAAACACCTCTAAGAGTTTTACGCCGTATTTTGAAGTGGAAAGGGTTTCCAGGATACTTACTTTGTTTGCCATACTGCCAGAAATGGAATTTTAGACCATTTCTTTAAAGTCCAATATTCCTAGGCACTCTTGCACATTTGACATTTCATGAGAAAAGGGAGATATTTACCATCTTCATTTTAGTAACTAACGATAAGTTATTCAATGTGAATATGATCCCTGTTATACAAATAAATTTATGACGCACAGTTATCAACCAATTACATCACGATTCTTGTCTACATGTGCAGAGAAGAAAACGCTACTGATTTTTAGGGTTATCAGTACTGAGGCCTACTCATTTGTTTCCTAGTTTTGTAATTTAAAAAAAATATGTGATTCAAGAATTCACTCGAATCTAATAAACTTAGCCTTAAAAACAATTAGAGATACTGATGAAATAAATCAAGACAAAAAGGACGTTTCTTTTTTATTTAGTCTCACCTATTCATTTTGGTGCCAAAGAAATCAAGGCCCAACGAGGTCACAGACTGGCCCAGGACACAAGGCTGTCAGAAGCAGGACAAACTAACACCAGTCTCTTTCTCCTAAGCCACAGTTAACAGGAACCACTCTTCCTTATTCTTCCTACCAAAACACACAGTCTCTCTCATTAAAAAAAAAAAAATCTTGTCTGATGGGATGTACTTACAGGACTAATTG